GGGTGTCAGTCCCAGTACTGGGAGAGCTCCCAGTTCTGGGGTTTGGGGGGTGGTCCCAGTGCTGGAAAAGGGGGTTCCAAGTACTGGGGGGGGGTTATCCCAGTGCTGGAAAAGGTGTTGGGTGGGGGGGTGTCCCAGTGCTGGGAGGGGGGGCGATCCTCACCCCAGGAAGGGGAGTGGGACTGGGGAGATGGGGAAGGCGGAGGGAGGGACGATGTGTCAGGCAGCAAATAAGTCACGTGACTTATTTCTAATCATCATTATTATTTTGTTTTGTCGTTTGTTTTTTTTCTTTTTTTTCCCCGCGGGCATTTCTGTTCCATTTTTGGGGTTTTTTTTCTCGTTATTTTTTTTTTCTGCTCATTTAGAGTTTTTTTTTTTGCTGTTGTTGTTGTTGTTTGGTTTTTTTGGGGGGGGTGGGGCGGCGAGATCGTTATAATTAACGAATCGGTTTTGTTTTGGGGTTGGTTTTTTTTTGGTGGGTTTTTTTTTGTTTTGTTTTGTTTTGTTTTGGGTTTTTTTGTGGGGTTTTTTTTTCGGTGATGGGTGAGGGCGGTCTGGCTGTCGGCGGGCTCGGCGCGGGGGCTCACACGCTCATTGTCATGCTGGGCGAGTACTACAGAGAGAGCGGAGACACCACAGGGTTAGCGGGGCGGGCGGGGGGTCCGCCTGGGGGGGGCGGGGGGCGCACACACCGAAGCCCCCCTTTCCCCCCTCGCCTCCCAAGGCCGGCCCCGCGCCGCTGGCACAGTTTGGGGGGGCTCGCCGGTGGGGTTTGGGTGTGGCTGATGAACCCCCCTGTCCCTGGCCCCGGCCGCCGCCGCCGCCGCGCCCCCCCCGGGCCCCCCGCCCTCGCCGCCTGCCCCCCCGGGGGTCCGCGGGGGTCCCCGCCGGGTCCCTTACGCTGTCGCTTTGGAAGGGATTTAGGAAATTGCTGCTCAGCTCGGCGTCGTCCCGAGGGGTCCCGGGGGGGTTGCTCAGGGCCCCCAGGTTACTGGGGGAGCTCTGGGGAAAGGGGGGACAGAGAGAGGAAGGTTAGTGAGGGAGGGGTGATATAAGGGAGGGGGGGAAATAAGGGGGTCCTGTTGGGGTGGGAGGATCCCAGGGCATTGTGGGAGGAATAAATGGGGTCCCAGGGCATTAAGGGGGCACTAAATGGGGTCCCAAGGCACTGGGTAGGGATCACAGGGTATTGGGGGAGGGAGAAATAAGTGGGGTCTCAGTACAAGGAGGGACAAATAAATGGGGTTTCATAGTAGGTCTCAGTACATGAGCAGTCCCAATGAACAGGGTCCCAATACATGGAAGGAGAGTGTGCCAGTATATGGGGGATTCCAATAAACGGGTGCCAGCACTCACCTTTGGCAGCCCATCCATGTCCCCGGAGCCTGCCAGGATGACAGGGGGGTGTTAGTGACCCCTCAATCCTTGTGTGTCCCCCCCCAGTCCATCTGTGTCCCCCCCAATCCATCTGTGACCCCCCAATCCATGCATCCCCCAAACTGTGTCCCACCAATCCATTTCCCCCTTCCACCCCCCCAAATGCCCCCCCAAACCCCGCACGAGCCCATCATCCCACAGATGGAGCTCATGTCCAGCAGGATGGAGGGGTCCTGGGGGTGCTGGGGATGGGGACACAGGACCTCCCCCTTGTCCTGGGGGGCGGCTCCAGAGGGGGGGGAACACCCACCTAGGGATCCGTTCATGTGATGCGGCTCCATCGCGCTCATCCCGCCCATGGGCCCCTCGGGGCCGGGCCCCATCGGGAACTGGAAGGGAAAAGGGGGTGGTGAGCAAGGTGAGGGGGGATGAGAAAAGTCGGGAAGCCCCCCCCCTGTGTCTCCCCTGTCCCCCCATCCCTGTCCCCCTCCATCCCATCGCTCACGTTCGGCCGGTTGCCCGCGGGTCCGATGGGGTTCATCATGGTGTACATGTTCTCACTGGAGTTGGTGGAGTCTGGGGGGGGTGGGAAACACATAGTGGGGTGGAGGAGGTGAGTGTGGCCCCCTCCCCAAGTCCCACTCACCCCACCCCTTCCCCTCCAACAACACCCTACCCCATCACTCACCTCCGGGGCTGGGCAGGATGGGGGTACCGGGGGGGCCACCGCCCCCGGGGGGGCCCTGAGGGGGATAAAAGGAGGGAGGGGTGGGTTAGGGGGGGCACAGGGGCTGACCTGAAGCCCCCCTGCCCCCCAAAGTGCACCTTGATACTCACCACGTAGTTCCCAGGGGATGAGGAGGAGTAGGCGATCTAGGGGGGAACAAAGGAGGGGGTCAGCATGGGGGGCATAGGTCAGCACCCCCACGGCCCCAGGAGCCCCCCCAAGGTGCTGCCCACCCTGTTAAAACTTACAGAGTTGGCGTTGGGGTTGGGCCAGGGCCCGCGGCCACCGGGACCCCTGCAAGGCAACGGGGACAGTCAGGGGGGTCCTGCCGGTCCCGGGGCACCCCCTGCCCGGTGGGGGTGTGGGAGGCACAGGGGGGGCATAGGGGGGTCTTACATGTTCATGGCAGGCATGCCAGGACCAGCCAGTGAGCTGGGGGGGGGGCGCATCCCACTGCCGTAGGTCTGCCGGGAGAGGGGGGGGTCAGCGGGGCCTGGCACTGTCCCTGGCACTGTCCCCATCCCTGTGTCCCTGTCCCCAACCCCATCCCTGTCCCCAAAACCCATCCCAGTCCCTATATTCCCATTCCCAGTCCCCCCTCTGTCGCCATCTCTGTTTCTCTGACCCCATCCCCATCTAAACCTTCTGGCTTCCAACCACACGTCTGTATCCCTCTTGTCCCCATCCCTGTCCCCAGTCTCATCCCAGTATCCCATCCCCATCCCTGTCCCTCTGTCCCCACCGTGGTCCCTGTTATTCCCATCCCTGTCTGCATCCTTGTGTCCATTCCCACCCCTTTACCTCTGTATCCTTGTCCCCATCCCTGTCCCTGTGCCCATTCCCATCCCAGTATCCCCATTCCCATCCCAGTATCCCCATCCCTGTGCCCATTCCCATCCCAGTATTCCCATCCCAGTATCCC